TAGACACTCCTCATGTAGTAATACATTTTACACAAATTTAATAAAATAGCATTTCCAGCTTAATCTGGTTACTATTGCATAAACCCCGACTCTAATTAAATGCACACAGAGATAGAGAAACAAACTAGTTGATATAAATGGCAAAAGTTATTAAAGAAAATCATTTAGCTATATCAGGAAGAAAGAAAGGGCTACATACTCGCTTGATCTTTCCAGACTCAAAAATAGGTAGTCGGAAAGCCCAAAGCGTTCCAGAATTCTTCTAACATAGAGATCGGCAGGGGCTAATGCAGCACAGCACTGCAGCAGAAATAGGTCAAGCTCTAAACCCTGTTCAGACCTGAGATAGGAAGAAGAAAGCAAGTCAAGCCAAGAAAAAAAAAATTTCAACATTAAAAGCCCACCCTGAGCAAAGTCGAGGAAGAAGGGGAAGGAAAAAAATAATAATAAAGGTCACAAGGCAAGCAAGCCACTTTTCCTAAAGTACATACCAACGGACTGAACGATACCACTCACAAGATACTAAAGCAGCATCTCCATTCTTCCGCCACATTCCAGCATTGACCTCAGCACAAAATACCCTAATACGTAAAGGGTGCTCCATAATAAAGGCGGAAAATCCACACGGGTGGCAGCCCCATAGGACATGTCCAAAGAAGTCTGTACAGATTGATGATAATGAGGTAGCAGGACTTGCACTAGTCATATATGGCACTGCAGATTGACCGTAACACCTTCTTAGTGCCTTTTTTAAAAGCAAAGATAGTAACCGATGCAATGGAATGTGAACAGATACATGTTGGGAACTGACATCATATCTGATATCTGGCCAATCAGACAGCCTCAATATATGCAAGTCATGTAATTCTGCAGTATTATCTCTCTCCACTGCACCCTCAATAAAACCTGCAGAACTGCAGGCAACAGAATCAGTTTCACCAACAACCATTTTTGTGCTTTCCTGCACTGCACTTTCGCTCACTCGTATACCACTAGATATTGGCAAAGAACACTGTCTCTCATGAACTTCACTTGAACCAGAAAGTCTACCAAAAATAGACTTCCCCTTTCCAATCTTTGATAATGTTCTCTTCAGAACTAGAAAATTGCCACCAGAGATGCTGCCAGGGTCTGTAGAGGTTACATTGGGAAGGGCCCCAGCAGTACCATCATCTTCACCCAGCCAATTCTCAATGGCTCTCAAGCACTCATGTATTAACCATATGACAGATGGAGGAATCACGGCTTGGAAAATAGCATCAGAATTAATTTCAGGAACCTTTGAAACACATGCAAATGCAGCACTTCTGCCTGTTGAACTAGAGATGGAGCTTTCCTGGGATAGCCGTCCCACTTTTGCAAGTCTTACACTCTCTCCATCATCCATATCTTGTTCATCCGTGTTGTAAAGAAACTCATAATCTGTTTCCTCACTACTAGCAATAGAAAATGCTGCATCCACCAAAAGGGAATGAATATTGGCAATGGAATGACCTAAAACAAAAAGCAAGTGCATAGATTCATTCTCTTCTTCTATATGAATGCCAGTCTCCCTCTTTAGAGGGTTCATCCCTTGCACGAAGGCCAACAGTCTCATCCAAGTTTTTGAGATATCTCGCTGCTCATTGATTGCGTACTTGGATACCACAGCATGGCTCATGACAAATCGAATATCTCCAATAACACGATTAGTAGTATCATATAAACTTCCCCACTTTGTAGCCTGCAAAGAGACGTTATAAATATTTGCACCAAAAATGAAAGATGGAAAAAGACACAAAAAAACACAAATATAAAGATCATAACAAAAAAGATGTAAACAAACAAGATTGAAAGTAGTAACATTTTTCGGCTGATAATATTGGAGATAAAACAGCCAGTAACTTGCATTCTTCTGAATTATTACAACAACCAAGAAGCTAAGGTGGAAGCACATAGCCCAGAATTCCACTTTCACAACAAAAACAGACTTGATGGAAATTTTCAAACATCACTAGCTTTCAATTAACGGATACATCCCTTTGCATGAGAAGCCAACTAGTAAAATTTCTCCACCATAATTGCCTCATAAACGAGGAGGCTCAGAAAAAGAAAAAGGTATACAAGCCAACAGTATGACATCCAAATGTAGACAGCAGATATGGGTTAATATAAACTACGGACATCCTAATGAAGGTACCAAAGACAGAATATAGCCAAATGAGAATGACCTAGAACCACCATACCAAATTCCTAATGGTCAATTAAGATGGGAAGACAGTCTGCTACTTTGATAGTCCCAGTAGCAACTGCCTGGGCCTAAAAAGCTTGGAGAAGGCAATCTATCCATTTCAAGTTTCTATAGTAACGCCAACACAGAACTGCCTTGCTCCACACTACGTTAAGCACAATATGGATAAAATTCATCCTTCAAGAAATCAACACTTGCTTAAAAATAGAATTATCACAACATTTAGACTGCTAAAAACTACAACCCGCAGTGACACAAGCACACACCATCTATTTAACAAAACTACCTCATACAGTGAGCAAAGTTTCAAACAAACTTATAAGAACCTTAATCCTCCCCCTTTTTTATTATTTTTGGGGAAAAAGGGTTCCAAAATGATCAAAGGATCTCAAATTAAAATATGGAATCAAACTAGCTTTGAAGTGATCAAACATTTTACAAAGTTTAGTACAAGAAAAAGCAGGAATAAGAAGAAGCAGTATATGTATTGGTAAATGATTATTTGTAACTTAGAAACCTCTGATATTACCTGCAATCGGCCATCTTCTCCCGCACAAGAAATGAAAATGTCACCTAAGCATCCCAACAACAAAAAGAGTAGATTCATCTCCCTCACAAGACGCGGTGTTAGAGTCGGCACTGTAAAGATTTGCACAGAAAATGTAGACAGTATGGGGTACTTTTTGAGTGCAACATCATTGTGCTCTTTCACAATTTCATTTATAGCCACTGGATAGTAATTCAGAAATACTTTGGCAAACTCATATTTGAAGATAGGTTCTCCTAGCAATTTCAGAAGCACTTCATGGAGTTTATGGAGAACAGAATCATACAAGTATCTCTCTGCCCTAACTAGAATATCCGATAAACCAACTGAAGCAATCACCCTCCTAGAAACAAAACTAAGCAAGCTCTCACTGTACTTGCAAAACTCCAAAAGCATTTCTACAACCACATATGTCAGCTCATTTGCAACTTTTTTACATTCTGCAACACGATCACTGTATCTAGGTTTTTGCTGACCAATATTTTCAGTACATAAAAGCTTATTTTTCCAACAAATCAAAAGAGCATCAAGAACAGGCCCCACGGAGTTTGCTAATTTCTTTGGAAGGGGTTGTATCTGTTTGGCACCTTTATGATTTGAGCAGAAGCCCTCCCTCTTCCATGCCGTCTCATCTCCGCAATCACAGCAACCACCACCTGTGTAAATAATGGAATAATCATGGTCCTTGTGGTTGCCATTCTGAAAACAAGGAACACAAATTGCACAAGTCGGATCATGTTCACATGTCCTACACCTATATGCAATATCATTAAGCCCCCAAACAGCACCACAAACACCACGCTGCCCAACACTCATTCTTGCTAGATTCTTCAGAGCACCAGCTGGTTCATCCTCAAACATCAGCCATTGCAACCAAACCATGCTCTCACGAAAACGGATTTTCATGCTTATGCCTGACGAGGACTTTTTAGATCGTTCTTTAGCGTCATGCAAAGCCTCTGCAACTTCCTCATCTGGGGGTAAGACAACAGATACTAGCTCTGGAATCAAGGAGGGCTTATCCTTGACAAAATCAACTAGTCCAGGATAAAGCTTCTCAAGGTACTCCTCAGGAACTCCATAAGACAGAAGCCTCTGTATGAAAATTAGAAGAAAAAAAAAAATCTCAATATGACCCACGTTTCAAATGTTACCAAGACTGAAGCAAACTAAAGCAACAAAATATCTACTCTTTTCTGATGCTGTAGTCCTCAAGGTACCATTAGCTTAAATAAATCACAGAAAAGAAAGGTCAATAATGCAAAACAGAACAATGAAAGTAGATTTTTAGATGGAAAAGGTAATAAACTCATTAAGCACCAAGAACATTTGCTTTTCAACTTTTTGTTCACGGAACAAATTCAGCTTCTACTGCACATGAGAAGATATCTGCGAAGTCCTTTTTTGGCGCTGAATGAGGACTTGGTATGTTAGCACGCAGTGGGCATCAGCAATGTGTGAGAAGACAATCATAGGTAAATTCAATAAGGGAGTGTATCCTCAATTCCAAGCCTCACGGGAAGCAGACGAAGCAAAATTAAAGAAGCCAGTAAACTGAAAATAAGTTGCTTCATGGACCCAAAAATTCCTCCTAGGAACTTCAGAAGAAATTCTCATGAATAATCAAACATAATAACACAAACAAGGATACACTTATGAATTACAATATTCCCGAGACGCGAAACAAAACAAAACTCCAAATCATCAAAAATCAATCAGTTACAAGACAAGGAAAAATTCACAAAGGAATCCCAGCGCAACTACTACTACGAAGAGAGAGAGAGAGAGAGAGAGTGAGATAGAGAATTTGGATAAAACAAAAGCAGTAGCCATGGCAAAAAGGGGAAAAGAGGCGTACCCGTAGCACTCGATCACGGGGTCTGAGAGGAGCAGATTCAGGGGGCGAGTCGATTTCCATGTCACGGAAAATCAAATGCCAAAGACGCACCACCCACTCTGTACAACACAAACACTGCGTTAACCTGAATCCCGAGCCTTCACTCCCCAGGTTTGCGTCTTGTCATTAATTAATTCCCGAAGTTGAAGTTTACACTATCCAGAAACCCTAGTTGTTTGTCCCTATCCCTAAAATGCTCCTCTTATCACTTGCAAGAAATGAACTCCCGTCTCTAGATTCCAGATAGTAATAGAAACGCAAGCTAAGAGGCTAAGCACCTCTTAATCGAATAATGGCGGTTCATCAGCTGTCTGGAACAATCCTCGGGATCGTATTGTTGGTAGCAGCAGTATATATTTGGATGATAGCGTAGGAATACACACACACACACACACATATATATATATATATATATGAGGTATAAATGAAAGGGATTTTTCCCCCCCCCCCCCCTCTTTCAGTTCTTGTGCTGTGTGGATTTTCTCTCATTTGGTAACTCCATCTGCTCCCTGCTGGTGACTTCACTCTTACGTAGCGCCTCGATCTTCTTGTTTTTCGGAGAGTATTTTCTGTTATTGGGCCGGGCCTTGACATTGAGTATCCACTTTCAAAAATATATTATTAATTAACAGCATATAATACAATCTATTATTATTACAAAGATGAAGATCATAAAATGTTTTGCATACATACATAAAATTATATTGAATATTGTATAGTTTTTTATATTTTGAATATCCGATAACAAAATTTATTATCAGCGTGACTAAATTTTATATAACGACAATCAATTAAACTCAAATTGTTATTACGCATTCGTTCTATATGTTTAATCGGTACTTTTAAAAAGTTATAAAATGATCACGGATCATGCTATATGAATATGATAACGCGGTACGTACTTTGTCGCTAATCACAGTATACTACTGTCATATAATTAGATAATTGATTGAACATACTTTGTTTATGTTTGTATACTCAAATCGCAACTGCTTAAACAAAATTTCTAGAGGGCGCTCTTTGTTTTCCAATTTCATCTTTCTGTGATTTGTAACATTGAATAAGATATATTATTGACTATTTTAAAAAAGATACAAGTTATTGAGAGTAATATATAACATTGAAGATACGGATGCTCTCTAAATTTAATATATCTCAATCATGAATGCTATATAGCAAACAACAAATGCATGGAAAGATTCGTAGGAAGGAAACACAGGAACAAACCACCGTGGGGCTCGAGAATCCACGACCACAAAGTTAAGAGCCTTGCGCTTTACCGGCTGAGCTAGAAGTGAAGAATCTGAAAGTTTAGAGACATCAAGTAATTTCAAAAGAT